AAGAGATAGAGAATCATAGAATATGGTAAGTTGGAAGGAACTCAACAGGATCATTGAGTCCAACTCCTGGGCATGCACAGAGCATCCCAAAAAATCACAGTGTGTGCCTAAGATTATTGTCCAGACACTTGGACTCTGTCAGGCTTGGTGCTGTGAGCACTTCCTTGCCGAGCCTGTTCCAGTTCCCAACCACCTGCTGGGTGAAGAACGTTTTCCTCATAAGGGAAGCCTCATTATTACAACTTTAGGTTTATTTTATGCTAATAGAACTCCAATAAAGAAGCAGTAGTCTAAGGTTAATGCAGGAGAGGTTAGGGCAAGGCTGATCATGTGTATGTTACTAAGGTTGACTAGTTTGAAAACTAGTGAATGAATGAAATATTTTTGAATACAGTAAGGATTTTTTTTCTTTAAAGGTACAAAAGGAATGGAGCATGAATAATTAATAATTAGTCTTTCTTGCTACATATGGAAACCATTTAAACTGGTTTTGTTTAAAATCGTATTTTCTCAGTGAGATAATATATAATGTGATTGGCACATGAACCTGAATTCCTAGCATGAATATTTCCACCACTGATCATATAATGCCAGTGTCTGATGACTCCACAAGCGGACTTTAGAACTAGCTTTCAACTTTATTAAGTGAGTGCTGAGGCTATTACCTCATTTCCTTGCCATTTGCTCTGCCAGTTATTTTCAGTAGATCCAGCATTACTGGTTGTAAAGCCCCATGGCTCAGTGTAATGTGCATCTCAAACTGTGTCCTTTCTTAGTGCAGATCTCTCGTTTTCTTTCTGTGGGGAGGGTGGAGACAGCAAAGCAAGTTTGCCTCCATCTACCTCTTTCTACCAGCAAAATCTCAGGCATTTAAACCTTCTGTATATTTTGATCACTACTCCCCTGTACCAGTGAGCTAACCCAGTAGTTAGTCAAGCCTCTGGTCCATGTGGGAACTGTGAGTTTAAAGATGGAAATTAAGCATGAAGTTCACTGTTGGTAGGTTTAAACTCACCATCCAGTGATCCATACCCTGGATCAACAAATTATTTAACTAATTGAAGAAAGTCAACACGCAGTGTGATATGTGGTCTTTAAAGCTAATGATTTGTTAACAAACTGCTAAATATTTCCATGTTCCAAATCTGTGAACTGAGGTGGTTATCTAACATGAGACATTGATCAGCCTTTGATAATTCGACACAACAAGGAGGAAAATTTCTTTCCAACTCCAAAACCAGTCAGACTACAGTATCTTATATCAACTCTCCTACCACTTTGCAGATGACAGTCTGGGGTTTTGGGGTTTTTTTTGTTTTTTTTTCATTTTAAGATTAGGTCAAAATGAGGGTAAAAAAAGAGAAAGTGTGGTGCAAATGGACTCTGTAATCTTCTTTTACTCTGGTCAAGTGAGTAAATCAAAGTGGACTGAAGGTGCAAATGAAACAACTGTAGTAAGAATCGGAGAATATTTTTCCAGATACAAGTATCATGTTGTCTTGAGAATGACTGCTGTATATGCCTTTCCCTGCAGTTCTGGACAATTTCTTAAAATACTCTTACATCTTATGGGGATAAAAGATAAGCTTGAAGCAGTTTTCCCTAGGTGAGTTATTTGTTGTTTTGTGGCTTAAGTAATTACAGACCCAGCTCAGTTATTCTTCCTCTGGCTGGATCTATTTCAAGCTATCCCTCATTTCTTTCTTCTTTCTTTTTCCCCAGTGATGCTAATTATACCAAGCATCAAGCATGCACCAATAGTTGGTTAATTTTTAGCTCCAGCTTTGGCTAGAATCCCTCTTCTGAAGAATTTTTAATAGCCTCCAGTCTCTTTTTTCACGGAGATCACTATCTGCTGTGACTTACTTATTTTCCCTAGAGATCCCTTCCCGGAGCTTTCTGTGGGCAGTGCCACCCTCTACAGAAAGGTGAGCAGAGGAGCCTGACGCAGCTCTGAGCCCCCTTTGAGGAGGAGCAGCATCCCTTGGGAGGATGGAGCATCCCTCCCTGCTGGCAGGAGCCGTGTCCCCGGCACTGCTGGCTGTCCCTCGCCGCTGAGCCACCCGGTGGCAGCAGCTGCCAGCCCCTGGCAGCCACCAGGGCAGGGCAGGGCAGGACTGACAGGTCCCGGGATCTTCAGCAGAGGAGATGGAAATCTCCTGATTTGTGCTTGTCTCCATGGTTAGTGTTGGTGCGGACCAGGTGACAATAATGACTTGTCAGGATAAGGAAACCTCTTCTGTGGATAGAATAGGTGCAGTTGCTAAGGACTGTTATACAGAAGATACTTGAACACCATTTGAATACTGCGGCGGTTTTTTGTTTTTTTTAAATACTTCCTTTCAGAGTAAATGAGGTTTCTGCAGTCCCTATCAGCTGGGTCCAGTTTTGGAGGCAAACACATTATTATTGATTGAAAATATCACCATGGTAAGGGAGCAAGTGTGGGGTTCTCTTTCAAGTCTGCTAGACCTGGTAGCATTCTTTGTGGATTCAAGCAAGGTTTGATCCACTGCTTGTAAAGGGACGCTTGTGAATACACATAAATGTCTTAGTTTTCCTGCTCTTCTCTGTATGGGTTAGATTTGAGAATTACCATTTCAGAAGGCTTTTTTGCATTTCTCTTTAATATTTATTTTTGGATTGGGGTGTAGATGAAATTACCTTACCAACTATGAAGCCACATTGTATCAGCTGCTTTATGAAACAAACACTTCAGGTGTGTCTTATGTTTCAGAGAGCTAATTTTCAAAGGCAATGAACTTTTTATACAGGAGGATGGAGTGCAGAAATGTAACAGAAGGGTAAGGGTATTGGGAGAGAAGAGACATCACAGTGATGGCATTTGCAACTATGCAATTCTGAATTGACAAGAGTTAGTTTTGTTTGCCCTTTGAAAGGATTTTCTTGTGGCACCCAACAGAGTTCTGTTGTCTGATATATACTGAATATGCATCTGTGATGTGGAGCTAGAATGTCTTGCTCACTACAAACTTCTGTTGAACTTGCACGTAGTCAACATGGTCTCTGTTACACCAGTGTGTGGTCAGAAAAGGACTGTGAATTACACCTCAGTCCAAGGAAGAGAAGAAAACTGCAGGCTATGGTGCTGTGCATTTAAAGAAATGGGTCAGGAGGGGACTCTTAGCCTTACTTCCAGAGAATATTTTCAGAAGTTTGTTTGATCCAGTGCTACTCTACAATGGTCAGGCAGAAGCGGGGGGGGGAACTGCCTGTCATTCTGACCACTGGAAGGATTGGACCTTCCTTTCTTTGGTGCAGTCCCCATTACATTAACCTGGAAAATAACAAATGCAGGGTTTTAATTATACTTCTTTTTTTTTTTCCCCCGTAGGGTTGAATTAGCATAAAATTACAAGCAAGATTTTTTTTGTAGGAGGAACTATTGTATATTGTGTATTCCCCTTTCTGGCAGCAATAAAATTCAAAGTGTGCTAACTTTTTATGATAGAATCATAGAATGTTTTGAATTGGAAGGGACTTTTGAAGGCCATGGGAAGGGACACTTTGAACTAAATTGGGTTGCCCAGAACCCTGTCCAATGTCACCTTGACTGTTTCTAGGGATGGGGCATCCACCATCTCTGTGGTGACCTGCTCCAGTGTTTCACCACCCTCATGGTTAAAAACTTCATCTTCCTTAGGAAGACAGAATAAGACTTTATCTTTTCAAACCGGAAGGTTTCCTTTTTTTCATCTGGTTGATTAGGTCTAAAATTGCATTTGGATGTGGTGATTTTTCTTCTGGCATAGAGCTTTCCAGGGATCCATGCTGTGTGCCTGGAGTTGTACTGTGAGGTATTGGGTTTTTGTTGTTGTTTGGGTTTGATGGTGGGGTTTTGTGCTTTGCTTATTTGTTGGTGGTGGGGGTTTTTTGTTTGGTTGTTTTTGGTTTTTGGATTGTTTGTTCTTTGGGGTTTTTTACTAAAAGAGGCAAAATGAGCACATTTTTTTTCCCTCTAAAAGGAGAGATCCTATTGTAGAGCTTTTTCAGCACCATGTGCCATTCTTGCCATTCTGCTGTTTCAAATTGCAGTGCTGGGTACGTCCTGAGGTGTCTTTTTGTGTGCAGAGCTCAGAGATACAGCAAGGAAATGCACATTCAGCACAATTCCATGGTGACCTGACTCACCCTGATTCTTGCTTCTGCCTATGCCTGCTGCTGTGTCCCACGCAGAATGTCCTGTGGGGAGTTGTGTAAACCCACGCAGGATGAAGGACTTCTCTCTCCATGAGACTTCCATCTGTAGTGGTTTGACACAGTCACACTCACTGTGGGTCTTCTTTAACATGGTCCCACTGCATCCAAGCAGGAATTTTCGGATGCTGTGTGTTGAATGCCAATTTGAGT